GGTCACAGCTACAGAACAGTGGGCACAGCAAATGTCACAAACATCACAAGACTAATAGACACCACCATATACTTGTCAGGACAGTAGCAGTTAGTAATTATGGCTAAAACAAGAAGGGAAATGGGCACATGTGGCAACTGAGGTAATGTGTGACCAATGAGAAGTAGACACGGAGGACCAGTGAAAAACTTCATGGATAATTATAGGGGGAATTAAGATAAGATACTTAAACTTGTGTACAGCCTTTCCGTGGCATCTCCTCGCACTTGCGAGAGGGACCCTTTCCCAATCTTTCTGGGAAAGTCTATGCTTCATTTCAAAGAAATTGTGCTTTTTTTTCTGTTGTGTTGGAGTCCCAGCTGCTTTGTTTCCACTTTACTGTGACTTATTTTCACTTTAACTTGGGCAAACTTGCTATTTCTACTGAGTGACTGAGTAGCTTGTAGGCATTGCAGTGAAACCTGCCCTTTTTCCTTGGTTGGTTCACTGAAAGATCTACTCATAATTATGGTAGATTAATAAGAGAAAGGTTTATTTCCAAATACCATGTGCATAGGTGGATCCACAGAATGAATACTCAAAGTCTCAGTAATGATCAGAAACCTTTATAGATGCCCGTTGGAAGGGAAGGGGGAGAATGTGAAAAGTATAGGTGCAGCAAGTGGTTTCTGGGGGGTAGGGTGTGGATGGGTGGAAACAGATTGATTTGTAGATTAACCTCAGAGACAGATATGTGCTTCAGATGACCTTGAGGCCAGGTATTAGCATGTAATAAGGAAGTCAGCAGCCCCTTTTGATTCCCAATCAGGTCCTCAGGTTTTATGTAGATAGAGGAAAGGCCTCTTTCAACACTTCCTGATCATGAACGGCCTTTAATTCAAAATATTCTTTATACCAAAGAGTCATATTTTGGGTCAAAATTTCCTTAGGTCCTTTGTTCACCTCGTCTGGAACTTTCCTAGGTGTTTCACACATTAAGAGCTGAGTTGGTAACCGTGGAGAGAGAGAGAGAGTAATCTAGTAATAAGATGCTTGAAAAGAGATACCAGAACATAAATGAGGATGAGAAAGAATAAGCAGTAAAGAACAGATCTGAATACATTTCCCCACACCCCATTAAACCAGTCTCCCATTCCTGGGAATAGGTCAGTCTAATAGAATGGTTTGGTTTTGTTAATTTGATGAAGAATACTATTCTTGTCTTTTAAGAGATATAGATCAGTCACTATTTCCCATGACTGATTTACATAAAAACATTTTTCCCCAAGAGGAGCACAAGTTCCTCCTTGTTGAGCTATCAATGTGTCTAGGATGTGGCAAATTTGAATTACAACAGATGTTGGGTTATTAACTTCTGCTTGAAGTGTTTCCAGTGCCTGCATGGTGCTGTTCAGTTTTTCTTCTATTACCATGGACACATTTATGATTAGTATTTCAATTTCATAAGTTCCAAATGTTGGGAAAAGGATCTTGAGAATTGAAAAAAAAAAAACTTTGAATTACGATACATAAGAGAATTTCTTACAATGTCACAAGTATGTTTATAAGGTACCACCTTACAAACAAAAGAGCTCAACTTTTAATTTGACTGGCATGCAAAGTATAGTACTTCATAACAGAGGGTATAAGATAACCAAGTCCACAGTGTCCTGACTATTTGGGTGGGAACCATTTGTATACCTTATTATCATATAAGATAAAAAGACCAGTCTTATTTATAGACAGAGTCAGGTTACAGCCTGTGACCTTCCAGCCTGGAGTTTGCTGTGTCTTCTCTTCCTCACTGGCGCTTTCACATATCTGGTTGTCATGTGTCCCTGTCAATTTGTAGGAACAGAACAGGGTGAGGAATATTTGATATAAAAGCTTTTCATCTGGTTTGGCTTAATGCTACTGTCTAACCAAGTCAGTCCAGACTTATAGCCTATCCAAATGTGATCATTAGTGCCTGGCAGTTTAACAAAGAGAGAGAGTGAACTATCCTGAGTGGCACAGGCCCAGTCTGTGGGCTATTTATAACATATGGTGATTTGACAAGTATTGTCAATATGAAGGTTAGTGTCAGCACCATTTATGATCTTTGTGAGAGGTGCAAGAATGCCATTTGTGTAATCAAACCATAGGGTTTGATCACAATATTGTTCCAGGATATCACCCAGAAAAAGTCTAGCATTATTCTGATTTTCAACGCAGAGGGGAAAATTCTTTCTAGTGACTTTACCTGAGCAAAGATAGTTCTTGAGTTTTCACAGAAGTTTTTTTACATTCAGTTGTCTCACCATTAGGTGAAGCAGTATGTTGTTTCTTCTCTGGCTGTGGATGTTACATCACATGTCCATTTTCCAGGGTGGTTCCACCAGACACTCATATTAGCAGAAATAAAAATGAACTTGGGTACCTTTGCATGATCTAGATGTTGGAATAACCAGCAATTGTACTGATTAGTTAGTGTGGCCAGGGTTTGAAAGACTGGTGCAAGGGGGTGCTGGGTCTGCGCTTGACCTGCTGGAAAAACAGTCGGGGTTAGTAAGAGTAAGGCACAGTTTGAAAGAAGAGCTATAGTGGAAGATAAAAGGGAGAATGTGATAGATTGAGGCAATTTCCACTCAGCTTTTAATGTGCTATTTCTGAAAGTAGGGGTGTGCTTAAAGAAGGAAGTGTCTAAAAGGACTATTTGGTTTCAAAAGACAAAAAGGAATTTATAGATAAAAGAATAGGGTTTCTTGATTCATGATCTTGGGAAAAGCTGTCTACTTCATGAAGTCATCTGCTTCAGGGATCTGGGAACTGGCCCTGGAAATCCTTACTTTCAGGTCACGTGTATGGGTCATTCTCTAATTTTCAGTGGAGTTTTGTGTGGTTGATAGGAATTCAGGAGAGTATCTTTTTAGTTTTCATGCTAGTATAGGTGGTTGGTTAACAGTACTTTATAAAGACATTCCTAGCAAGGTGACAGCATGTGTCTTCTTCTAAGAACTTTTTATACATGTGATCTCTTGGTCAAACAGGATGACAAGGGCTGTCAGTTGGTGGAGGCCATGTTCTATTCATGTTGATAATATGCTTCAAGCATATTAGTTAGCATCTCTATTCTCTAGTCACCATATAGAATTGTCCATTTAAATCTCCATGGTATTCAGTCTGTACAAAAATATATTTACTGGTCCCAGGAGGCATGGGATAACAGAATACTGTTTCAAAAGGGGTTAAACCATGTCTTCTAATTGGAGTATTCCAGATTTTATAAAGAACAAAGGTGATATTTCTGGCTATTTAAGTCCAATATCTTCACAGACTTTTTACAAAAAGTTTTTATTTTTAGATTTTTACATTTTGCTTGCCCTGAGGATCTGGGATGGCATAGGTATAAAATTTAAATCATTATCTTTGTAAGCAAGTGATTTAAAATGAGTCCCCTGATTTGACTTAATCCATAAAGGAGTGTTAAAATGTGAGATAATCTCAGTTACTAATTTTTTTTAACAACTCTTGTAGTATCAGCATATCTAGTAAACAACATTTAGAGTATCCATTAAACAGTAAACAACCATGAGAAAAGCTTAACTCTGGACATAAATCTGTAAAATTAATTTGTAGTGTCAAAAATAAATAGTTTGAGTTTTAGTGGAGGCTATTTCCTCCAGAGATTTGATGAGACTTACAAACAGTGCACTGGGAAATAATTTGGTTAGAGATATTATAGATCCCAGGGCAATACTAACCATATATATATATATATATATATCTCATTTCCCATTTGCACATATCTCCATATAATGGGAGATAAGTGCAAGTCAAAAAGTTAAAAGAAAAGGGGACTAGGGAGTCTGTTTATTTTAATGTGCAATTTATCTGATATTATAGATTTAAT